GATTGATTTATATCCTGCCTTTTTCCTACAAAGGGCTCAAGGCAGCTCACGTCTCCTCCTCCATCTTATCCCCACAACAGCAACCCTGTGAGGTAGGTTGGGCTGAGAGTCTGTGACTGGCCCAAAGTCACCCAGTTGGCTCCATGGCTGAGCGGGGACTAGAACCCAGATCGCCTGAGCCCCAGTCCCATGCTCTTAACCACTACACCACACTGGCTCTCTACACTAACCACTACTAACCACTATACCACACTGGCACTATATTGGCATAGAAGACCGTATACTGGATAATGGTCCCAAAGCAGCACATCCATATTCAACTGATTCGTAGAACAAAGAAAATCATACATTTACTAATTGCCCTCCCAAGCCCTTCAGCAATGTTCAGGTTGGTCTGTAGGACTGCTCTCAGTCCAGCAGGCAGTAGCAAAGACGAGAAAGAGGGCAAGGAGCATGAGCAGCAGATGAGCATCGCCGTAAGAAGGCAGGTCTGCTGAGGGAGGGGCCCATCGAATCCGTGTCCAAGGGCCCGGCAAACATGCAGCCAGTGCTGTTCAGAACACGAATTACACTGAAGCCAGAATTGCAATAGCACCACTCACCTGCAGCTGCCAAACATCCCATCATCAAAACAAGCACTGGAATGATGCAACTTGAAGTCATGTCGGCTGCGCCCGGTGTCCTCACGTTGACGTCCTTTGTAGTTCTTTGCTGATGATGCAGCGACCCTACTGTAGATGCTTTGCTATCGCAGATCCTTCCAGATTTGTAACTGCCTGCAAAGAGAAGTTAAAAAAAATCTTTGAAAAGCTATGCTGTAAAAAGAAGCCATTTTAGATTCTATTTTGATACAGTACTGAAAAGATGGGTGACTGGCACCCTTTAAAGAAAGAAATCCTTCCTATGAGGAATAATCTAAGAAGAGTCATATTCTAAACACAGGTTTAATTCTCTCTGGCTCCATGCTATGATTCAAATCACTAATTTGTTCAACATGTATGTTTCAGTGCCAGAACCTCAATGTTTTAATATTTATCAGGGATAGTAAAAAAAAAAGTGTCAGCATGGTTATCACTAAAACATTAAGTCTTGTAAAATTATTTTAATACTTTGGAATAAGTTCTAAGGCAATGTGGAAAATTCAGGAAAATTGCCATAGCAGATCATTTTGAAATGCAAAGGGTGACATTTTATGATACCTACAAAAACCTCTGGGAACATGTATAGGAGAAAACTATGTTTTCCCACTTTGCTTTCACAAAAGCAGGAATGGTGGGAATGGTGCTCTTGCCCCTCCAGTATGGAGGGCTGCAGGTAGAATTTTGGCTCCAGCAGACCCCACTGAAAGCTACCCACCTTGGAAGGCTGCAGAAAGGCAGAGGAAGCTGGTGTGATTGAAGAGCCTGCTCTTGGCTGAATGGAAGTGCCTTCCCTTCAGACAATCACTCTCTTGGATCCAAGTCATTGTCTCTACTATGAAATCTAGCAAATCTCCTTCCTCATTTACAACATGGGGCTGAAACAGAATGAACCTGACCAGCGGTGGTAGGCAGTCTTTGATCCAATTTCACTGTAAACGCCACACACCGATTCAAAACCACTGCCAGGAGCTCTTTCCTCCTTCTGAACCAAACTCTGACAAGGTCTTCGCTGTACTCACAAAAAACCAGGACACCAACCGACTTGTCCTTCTGGTTATGGTGGTAGCCAATGCTCCAAAAATCTTACAGAGTTCATAAACGACTCCATCTTTTCCATATCCAGAACCCTCTGGATGTATTTGGCTACAGCCTCCATGATCCCCAACCACCATGGCCAGACTGGCTCCAGATGAGCATGCTGGCTTCAGATGATGGGAATTGTAGTCCAATACATCTAGAAGGCATGAGGGTGGGAAAGGCGGGCTATAGCTACCCACCTTGCAGCTCTTACTGTCACAATACATGTAAAGGCCATGCCCTAAATCAGGGGATTTATCCCAGGATCCTTTATTCCGGGAAAACAGTAACTTCATGGAAGTGGAGCAGGAGCATAGTAGGGCTAGCTAGTGCGCTCTCTCTCTCTGTCTCTCTCTCTGTCTCTCTCTCTCTCTCTCTCTCTCTCACACACACACACACACACACAGCAGGAGTTGTGCTCCAAGTTTTTTCTCCGCTCTTCTTAATAAACAAATAATTAAAGATCTGTTTGCATTTTTTCTTTAAAAAGCCTGCAGACTAAGTAAACTTCCCTCCTAATTTTTGGCAACCCCCCAAAAAACCTTTAGGCTGATTAGAGCCCCGACACACACGCCATTCATGCACAAAACCATTCGAGCCATTCAGCCATTCGTTCTCATACACCTCCCACAAAATGATTAACCATCCTGAGTCCTGTGATTTCTGTAAATTGACCCCCCCATTGAAACCTACTAATAGATCACCCCAAATATTTGCTATCCTTCCCCTAAATCACGACTCCCTTCCAGCACTGGAGCTGTCTTTTTAGGGATTTGTTTCCCTTTTCAGAAAGCCTCTTTGGACTGCTTTCTTACTTTCCTTACTTTCCTTTTCCACCCTGGGAATCGGACAGAACAGCCCAAAGGGGGCTGAAGGAGGGTTGGTGGGACAGTAAGGAGCAGCGGGTGGAAGAGGGAGTAGGGACAAACGAAAGAGAAAGGCAGGAAACACTCAGCCACCTCATGAGTAAACAAGTGGCTCAGCTAAAGGGGACAGTTGGAGGAGACACAAAGGCATGGGCCAAATTGTAACCACGGACTAGAAGTTACACACTTCCACCTTAAAAGGTCCGTATCTCAAACCAAGAAGGGACTATTATGATGCACATGTAGACAGGATGTGGGCCTTGAAGAGGCCTTCAGATACTCAGGGCTGCCCCCTGTTACAGAGTCATACATTAGAGGTTCTTGGTATGAACATTTTTATTTATTTATTTATTTAAAAAATTTCTATGCCGCCCCCATCGCAACAAAGCCTCGGGGCGGCTCACAAATATATATATATATATATATATATATATATATATATATATATATTAACCCCCCCCCCGGTGCATTCTTGGCTAATTTAAAATCCTAATAAATACAATAATTTAGCAATTAAAATAAGTTTTAAATAAAAAGATCTTAGCCTGGCGCCGAAAAACAAATAATGACGGCGCCAGGTGGACCTCTCTGGGGAGCGCATTCCATAGATGGGGCGCCACCACAGAGAAAGCCTTCCTCCGGGTACTAACCCTCCTAATATCATTCACAGAGGGTTCCCGGAGAAGGGCATCCATTGCTGATCTCAAGGGGCGGGAGGGCATATATGGGTGCAAGCGTTCCTTTAGATAACCAGGTCCCAAGCCATTTAGGGCTTTATAGGTCATAACCAACACCTTGAATTGGGTCCGGACTTCAATCGGGAGCCAGTGGAGCTGACGGAGAACTGGGGTTATATGAGAACAACGTCCAGTCCCCGTCAGCAACCTGGCAGCTCTATTCTGCACCAACTGAAGTACCCAGACCGTCTTCAAGGGTAGCCCCACACCGAGCGCGTTACAGAAATCTAATCGGGAAGTTACCAGCGCGTGTGTCACTGTCGCCAGGCCATCGTTCTCCAGGAAGGGGCGCAGCTGATTTTATGCAGGAAATCCTTCTCCTGCTGCACTAGGGGTGGCAACTTGTCACCTTCCTACTGTTCTTTATTCATAATACTTATATACTGTGTAATAGAATACAGTCCCTAAGCGGCTCACATATACGCAATGCCAAACTGCTCCTCAGACTGAAAAATGCTTTGGACCAGTCTGAATTTCTAATGCACAGTTCTGTACAGGATCCAACAACTTGTTTGACTGGCTTTGAAGAGCACCAGGTATCATTTTGCCATTGCATATGCAAGTCACAAAAGGAAGATATTCACCCAGTGGGGAGCAAGGATTAGGACTGTAATGGGAACCCACAAGCTGTGTGCATTGAGGATGGGGAAAGGATTGGGGTTTGGTGCATTATTGCTCCTCTTTGGGCTAAGTACAGAGGTAGCCAGCTGGATATCCTGGCCTACGATTCTCATCATCCCTCACCATTAGCATGCTGGCTAGAGCAGATAGCAGTGTCGTCTAAGAACATATGTTCCCCCCATGGCCTGTACTCCCTCCTCCCAAGATTCCTCCACATGTGGAAAGCTTAAAAGCCGGGAAGAAGTACTGTTATGCAAGCCTTCCCCCTGACGTATAACTGACGACTCCAGATTCTCTCTCCTTCCTACACACTCATACACAAATTAAAACTATAGTGCTGCACGTATTCTGTAGAAGAACACTTTGCTGTTGACTTTGGAACAAAATAATGTGTTCTTTACAATCCATTCCAATGCGTAACCACAGATTTACTGGAAGTTCATCTATGGGTTTCCAAAAGTAAAAACATGTGAGCTACATGTGGCCAGCTATAGATTTTTTTTTCCTTTTTGTGAAAAGAAAAAATCACTCCCTTCTAATGAGACTGCAGTTATCCTCTAAATGAATCAGCACCAAGTCCAATAAACTGATTGCGCACCACCCTGAAATCTTGATAGGATGAAGGGTGGGACACAACCACATTAAAGAAATAAATCATCAAGCATGCATTCACACATACATGCCATTATTTAGTCATGGTGTAAGTTTCCAAAACTTATTTTGAAGTGCTATAACTACTACCGCAAAGCATTACAAAGCATTGTAAAAGGAGACACATCCCTTTTCCACCTGAAAATGGTCATTAGGTAATTCATTAAGAAGGATCTGCAGTTTAAGATACTACGTGTAGGTGCTCTTGTGCCAACCACTTCCAGCACAAACCACAAGTTGCAGCGTTGCACTGATGCTGTCTCCCCACCCCACACCCTGATGTGCTAGTAGCACAAGCATTTGAGCCCTGGCGAGTCCCTGGCATCACACTTGGGCTGAGAGACCGCAGCGGCTCCCCATCCACTGAGACTGCTAGGACTGGCCCAAGGACCCACTCGGCCTGCAACCTGACCACCACCCTGACCAGGAGCTGGTGCTCTGACTGGTCTCCTTCTACAGCAGTGCTGGGCAGAGCTCAAGCTGGTTAGATCCCCCTTATACCACCAACAAAAGTCAGAGGGGAAACAAGAAATACTCTTAGAATTGAAGAAGCAAACACAGTTCTGTAAACCTAGGAATTTGCTTTCAGTAACAGTCCTTTTCACAGTCCTTTCACAGAAAGAAGGGACAGTGCAGTGTAGTGGTGATCTGGGAGCTGATTCTACTCAGCCATGGAATGGGGTGACTCTGAGCTAAGTCTGCCTAAGTTTTGCCACTCCACAATGACAAGGTTATCTGGCTCCTGATCCAGTGATTTTCAGATTCTCCCTGCTTTGGCAGACTTCCAATGTTTAAACATGCATACCCCCAAAACCTGCTATTTAATCCAGTTACCTTTGGTGCTCCTTTTGTGCTGCTCTTTTAAACAGAGGTTGAAATATCACTGCAAGCAGGGGAAAAGAAGGGGTTTGTGACTGTCACGATGGTCCAGCGACCTGCATTCCACAGAGCTGGCTGGAGAGCAACTGAATTATCCACAAAAAATTGTAGACACAAGATGATCCCCTTGATCAAAACAAAGTTATTTTCTGTACTCTCTCTCTGGATGTCAGAAATCAGTAAATGTACATACCTGAGGCTTAATTATTTCCATTAAACTTACTGCATTTATGTCCCATCTTTTCCCCTCCTTATGAGATAGAAATAGTCACACCTATTCCACACCTAAGATGACAAAGTGACT